GCACCAGGGTCTGGGTCTGGCGCCTAAGATGATACGAAAAATGGCGTTGGTCATCCAAAACATAAATTTACGCAAAATTACACACATTGGAATTGCTTTTAAGCGAGCACAGTTATTTCATGTTGTTGTTGTTGTTGCTGGTGGTGGGCGGTGGTTGCTGGTTGCTGGGTCGGTCAGTGGCCGAGGGACTGGCCCCTTGGGGGCCTCTGCCCCAGTACGAGTATATATTGAATTGTTGGATGTTGGATGTGCGCCTAAAAGCCGACGAAGCTCATTTATACGCTCACTTCTATTCGCTTGCATGCTTTATGGCATTATGCTCCATTTTTCAACGGACGCTGGACGCTGAGTTGCGGTTATTTATAATATTTTATTTCTTTGATAGGGGTGGGGGTGGGGATTTGCTTTGGGGATGTGTGGATTGTGCGATTCTTGTTTGTTTGTTTGTTTGCTTGCTTGTCAGTCTGTTTGTCTGTTTGTCTGCCGGTCTGTATTTTTGTCGTTTATCATTTTGATAAGTTGGAGGCACTCTTCAACGAATCGTGGCGCGCATACAAATCGCAATGTATTTGCATTTTAATTAGCAGATTTATATAGTGGCTGTGTGTGGGCGCTAAAAAGGTGCGGTCAGATGTGCAAATTCTTTACGTTTTTAAATTATATATGAGTTTGGCAAACTCATAATAAGCTGTTCAGATGGCGCAAATAAATTTGTTTTGCATGCAAATAGGGGGTCTGGTCCCCCAGACTACAGCATCTGTCGATAACAAGCTGAAAACCGGTGTTTGCTGTCCTGTATCGGAGTTGCTCTACAACTATATATTAGTTTCTGGCCGTGTCAATTTAATTTGCATAAATGGACAGCATACACGAAGCAAATTTGTGGCTCGAATCAGCAAGCGATAAGACACATTCAAATTTTTGTTTCTGTCAACTTTTCTAATATTAATGCTTTAGTTCCAGTCGCTTCGTGGCCAACCTAAGATATGTATCTTATTATTCCCCGATCGGCCATCATTTCGGATATTTATTATATAAATAATTATTTAATTGCTTTTGTCACATATGAGTTCAATAAAAATGTACTCTTTGTCACATTTTAGGGTTAAGTTTGCACGCAATGAATTAATAGATCTGACTGTACCTTATGCCACACTGTTGCACGTGCTTTGTGGTAAGGAGGGAATTAGTTCAGTTGGTGAGTGGGGAGAGTGGAGAGGGGGGGGGGGGGGGGGGGGGGGGGGGGTCCGATATCGCTCAGCTTGTTCCGAGTGTCAGTTGCATTGCCCGTCAATTTAATAAAGTCAACAGTTTGTGACGCAGCGCCAGGCAGAATTGATTGGTAATCGATAGGAAGCCGCAGGGGAACAAACACACAATCCTTCAATCCCGCAATCCCGCAATCCCCCAATCTCTCAATTCCACTGCCAGCCCCCTTGCTCTCAGCCACACCCTTCACACAAACGACAGTCATTGCGCGTATTATTGACGTGTGGTATGTTGTAAGGGAAAGAGGCAAACGGCGAGGAAAGGAAGGAGAAGCAGAGCAGAAAATAAAAAGCAAGCCGGCATTTAAAGCAAACGGGCGAGATATACACACGGACACTGACATGTAGACAAGTCCACATACACATGTTCACATCGACATATACAATGTGCTCTATACGAGTGTGTGGGTGTGTAAGTGTGTGCATGAATATTGTAATTTCGAATAGAGTACCGTTGCCTGTTCGGCGCATTGTGTACATTGCTCATACGACTTGTTGCCCGCCTTTTGTGAAATCAGACGCATGTCCATGATGATGCGATGCGATGCGATGCGATGCTTGCTGTCGCTTATGCTGTTGCTGTTGATGTTGCAGTTGTTGCTTCTGTTGCTTCTATCTGTCTATTTTTAGATCCATGGCAGTACGTATGTATGCATGTGTGTGTTGCGTCGCCATCACTCCACCGTGACCGCGCCTCATTTGCGCCACTGCATTTTTCATTCGCCCGCATAAAATAAATCGCACGAAATATTCGAATTGCTTTAATCAACTTAATGAATGGGTGCAATTATTTTTTTGTTTCCGAATGTTATTTTATTTATCGATGTAATGCACGCTTAATATGCCATAAGTGGTGCGAATTGGGAGCGTTTCTGTCCGGCATGTGCCTGTTGCACAGGAAGGAAATTAACGGAAAACTCACACTGCATGTGGAATGGAAAACAATGTGGGTGGAAGATTTGAAATATGAATATGAAACTCATGGTTTTGTTTCAAATTTAATGTGAAACCGGCTCTTCTAGTCGAAATGGAAAAAATGGCCACTTGACAACCAATTTTATAACCTATATACTTGTAAATAGATACATAAAGTATTTAAGAAAATGAAAAGAAAATAACGTATAGAACATTTGTGTCTGGCACACTTGTACTTTCCACTGAAATTATGTTCGTTTGCCTCTTCGAAACACTGTTGAGTATATTTTATCTATGCAACTTTTCCAGTTACTTATGATACCACAAAATGTTTCAATTTATTAAAATAAATATACTTGTATAGAAATCTCAATTACTCACTCATTTTAAACTTTGAACGAAATTGGTTTAATATTTATGGGTATGATAAATTAATTTGTTTGTTATAAATTCCTTTTTTTTATTTTTTAGAGTTCATAAGGGGTTGTCAAGAAAATGTTTTTAAATTATTTATTTACCAACAAAATACTTGTGTGTTGTTCAGTTAATGATATAGCTTGCTTTTAAGTTAATGACGCGTTCCTCTAAACTTAAGATTGTTTCTTAAGATATATGGCATGGTACAGGGCTTTTATTTTTCAGCCGACTTTACAGCCCGTTAAAAATCTGTAACAAAACGACAATAAAATGTAATATTAAGTTTAAATTTAATCGAAATAGGTACAAATTGAATATAACTTTTACAGCACTATTTTATAGATACATATATTTTGAGTTGGATTAGGAATGAAACTTCTGTTTTGAGGCATACCCTATACGTATAAACGTATCTATTATATGGTAGCTGCACTATTTGCTTTTTGTAGTCAGCTTTGACTTAAAATTTGCAACTTTATTGTGTGCGCAGCTAAAGTAACTGTAAGGCTTTGCTTATGTTATTTTTATAAGCAAACAGCTATTTCATTCTGAGGCGTTGTTATCATATAGTATCCCCATATGGTTCAAATTCGAGTGTATGTTATATCACACATTAATTTCCAATTGGTTCCTTTTTTAATTTATTTAGAAACAATGATTGTTTTACAAAATTGGTGATACTGCCTATGATAGCTACAAAATATAGTGGTTCAATACGGTTTCGTCAAATAATTTCAGTGCAACAATTTTAAGGCAATACTTTGGAATTTAAAGAAGTCATGACCACACGCCAATGTGTTCGTCGAACATTGTTCACGAACATCATCTGCTAAAAACTTTCAGTTCGAAAAATACAGTCGTGGCCTCAAGCAACTAAATAAGTTAATTTTCCCATGCTTTGTTGCACAAATGTGTATTTTTTTAATCTTCAGTTTTATCCTTCGACAACGACGGCTCATTTTGGAGGCAATCAATGAATTGAAGCTCTAATTCTTTGCTCGTTTTGACACGAGTTTACTTCTTCCCAAATGATGTTCGTGCAAACATTTCTATTCTCCGTGAACAAAACGTCGAACGCTAAAATTTGTCGCGAACACCTGCACTAATGAGCGCATTCGCGTGGGGATGGCCTGCTTTATAAATAAGAATGGCGTTTGTCGTTAATATCATTGTCCTACTAATATCTCTCTGTATGCCCGCTCTGTGCCAAATAAAATTATTTCGATTCTATTCTTTCTATTCTGCTTTGAACTCGACATGTTTTTGTTCTCCTAGTCACATCATATTCAGAATGAATGAATTGCAGTTGAATAAAATGGCCGAATTGCTGCTATTGATGGCGTCAAGAGCGATTCATTGTCGGACAGCTCCTGGAAAGTGACACATGCTTTCGGCGTCTGATTCCTATTGAATTGTCAAGTTTGGTTTGTGCTGTTCTTTAATTCGCAACCCGCCGATAAAATGCAATATGTGATTTAAAGTGGGGCCAGGAGCTATTTCATATTATTGACAAAATCAGTGTCGGATTTGTGAAATTATGATAGAGAGCTTTTATGTTTTCTATGCTTCAACTATTCGGCGTAGAGCCTTGCTTGATATTGTTTACACATTTTTGCTTTAATTATTTTATTAATTATTTACAAAGTAGCTTATTTGCAACGAATCCCCATTTTAAAACTACAATAAGACTCTGCAACGATTTTGGGGAATTGTATTTGAACTATAACTATAAATAGTGTAGCCATAAACGGTCCTTAGACCTACAAGGTAACAAATTTAAGAATAAATGTAAAGTAAAGTAATTCAATTTTTAATTGTTAAATAAAAATAAATGAGTAAATAAATGAGTCAGTAATAGCTTCACAGAATACAAAAATTAAGCAAGCTGTTGCCAGAATTTAATTGATCTATGAGTAGAGATTCTTCCGTAAATAAAACTGTATAACATCGTTGCTGTTTGTTCTTTTTATTTGTTTGGCATTATGAACGTTTTAAGAATGTATAAACTGTTGTGGGAACATATTCGCCGAACCCCCACACAAATGAAATCAAGAGATACATACAAACAAGTATATCACCAATAGAGTTAGGATGGAGGTACTACTTTCAAAAATTAAATTGATGCACTCTTGCAGCGTGGATTATCATTAGAATTATAGCACGTGAGAAAATGCATAGGAATTAACTTTTTCTTTAAGGTTCTGTAAACAGCACATTGAATGCCCACCAAGTGTAAGGGTCCGGGTTCTACGGATGCCTCTACAACATGTTTAGTTTTCCTCACACACGCTTTACACTTGAAAAATAGCTAATCTTGATTAATCTTAATATTTGTATTTAATTGATTTTAAAATATTTAAAATATTTCCTTTAACAACGGTATTTTTTTTCTTATTTCAGTTACAGAAAAAGAAATACGTCAATGGTAAGTGAACTCTCCCGAGCTTTACAAATGACATGCGCCAGAATTGAAGGAGCATATTTTTTTAATAAGTGCATTTTTTATTTCTTCCTTGTGAATTTATAATTTGCTAAACAGGCACAAAGGATTTCTTAAAGACTGTCCGAATGGTTTACTTACAGAGCAAGTAGGTGAACGTTTCAAAATCCATGTGAAATATAAATTACATATTCGCATAAAAATCACTCAGACACACATCATACACCCACACGGCTAAGCACACATACGCGTTTGTGAACGACACACTCTTAAGCGCTCAATTATTTTAAGTCAAACAGTTAATAAAGCTAATTTTCTCTATATAATTTGTAATAATTCTTAAACGCATATATCTCTCTGGTACGCTAACAACAACAGCAACAATAACGATAACAACAACATCATACATTTTCTTGTTCGCTGCTGTCGATGCTTCAGCTCCTTACGGTCTTGTGTTATAAATGGCGCCATATCAACGTGTTGATGACGTCGAGGATGATGGTGATGGAGATGGTGACGTTGACGTTGACGAAGATGTCGACTAAGAAATTGAAGCTGACTGTGTCGGCTAATGAGTAGGGCTTTGTTGTCGCTGCTGTTGTTGCTGTTGCTGTTTGCCGGCAGCCGTTAATAATGAAATATATTAATGTTGGCATTTTTCAAACACATCTTCATAATGCTCATACAGATACTCACCATATTCCCGCATATACACCTAATTGATTTACATATTATAATTGTCTGCTCTCCCCCACTCCTCCACAGGGCTTTATCAAAATCTACAAACAATTCTTTCCACAAGGCGATCCAAGCAAATTTGCATCGCTTGTCTTTCGTGTCTTCGATGAGAACAATGTGAGTACCTTCAACAATGCCAACACTCCCCCTAACGACAGAAAATCCCACTTTCCCTGCCCCTTCCTCCCACCACCCACGCCATATTAGCCCCACCCCTACCTGGATCAGGGCCTGGACAGAATACTGAGCAGCCCAGAGCTGTGCAGCTAAACTCAATGTACGTTTATTTATTCTGAACTGGTTTTTCTTCAATTGGATCTGCTTTTAAGAAAGGTCAGAGTTGAATCAAACACAGCCAAACTTATGAAGTAGTCACAAAATTGTCAACAATCGATGTGAATCTTTTCTGTTTCTCAGTTAAACGAAGATGAATAGTTCCCTTTTTGAGCTCTCTTCCATTTAAGCCAAAACAAAGAAATAGCTACCTAAGCTATTACTTGTATTTATTTATTTTTCTTTTGATAAATGCTAGTTTCGCATTTTTCAATTTTTACCTTTAATACGTGGTCTGTTCAGAAGATAAGGTGATTTTGGAATTCCTCTGCAAGGCATTTATTTATTTATCAGCATCTAACTTGTCCCCTTCAAAGCAATCCCTCTCTAACTAAATAAAAAATCAAAAACAAAATAAAATACTTGAATAATAAAAGAGAAACATATAATTAAAAGCTATTAGAAGAAAGGGGAAGGTTTGTTGAGTTTGTTAAGTCTTATACTTAGATGATTTAAAATAAGTCCTCACCAAAATATCTTGCCGAAAAGTGACTTCGTATGACAAGTATGTATGATGCGCGAACTCTATTTCCTTTTCAAGGAATTCGGAGTTCAGGTGAATGGAAAAATACTAGTATCTGTACGTTAAAAAAAGCTTTGCATAATCGTGTGTTTTAAAAAGGAGTGATTAAAGTAGAGTCGTCATATTTAAAGCGAAAACTAGTTTGGTGTTGTGGTTCTAATTGAGGCGTTTAGGCACATCCCTGATGCAAATGTCCCTTTGTGTGGGCTGCTTCCTCTTTTGGGGTTCTTGCTAATGACGAGGACAATAATTTTGCCTGACATTGATGAATTTGTACACTGTCTAAGCGTATAAGTTAATTGTATTCAAAGGATTTTGCTAATTAGCCAAATGCCTGGTTGCTGGTTGCCTTTCAATCGCAGCAGTTACAGCTACATACTTGTAGGTAGAGTAGCAGACTTGTCCTTGTCGCTATCCCTGCCATCATAGCTTGCACAAATGTTTGTCAGGCACATCTTGTGTCCTGGCTCCAGCTATTATTTTGAATGGATTTGTAAGTCGATTATGTATTTATGCTTTTGTTAAATTGTTGCCGAGCTATACCAACCCCACATCCCCACTTCCACTTCCACCTCCACTTCCTCTTTCATCTATTGGCTTACACTAATTTCTTGCATTGTTGGTTACCATTATTGCTATTGTTGCGCCCGTCTACGCAGGATGGCTCAATTGAATTTGAGGAATTCATACGCGCCTTGTCGGTCACATCGAAGGGGAACTTGGACGAGAAACTGCAATGTAAGTGTGTGTCTGTGTGCAACAAAAGGCATTGCAATTAGCAAATGCCATTTATATGTATTCGTAATGCCCCCCATTCACACATACGCTCGAACAAATCCTCCTCTATGTATTTCGCAGGGGCCTTTCGTTTGTATGATGTGGACAATGACGGTTACATAACGCGCGAGGAAATGTATAACATTGTCGATGCAATCTATCAAATGGTGGTAAGCACATAAGCCTGCCTTTACATAAGCATAAACATATATAACCACTTACATAAAGGCATGCACACTAACTTATATTAGCTTACATCAGAATATTGTTTGAGAGTCGTGCAAATAAATGGAGCGGCGAGACTGGCTCTCATCTATTCGCTATATATAAAATAAACTTATCGGGGCAAGTTTTAAGCCATTGGTTTTGGATTTTAATTACTTCAAATTAATTTCCCTTCAAAACACAATCCCAAAACTGCCAATATATTTAAGGGAATAGGACCTTTGTATACTTATGTGGCGGGGTCCACTAATTCGTTAGTCACCTGCCTGATCATCAGGATAATTATAAGTAACTCATTTACAAATACTGGCAGACATAATTCGATGTTATACTTTATATGGCAAAATATTAGGCTAGGTCTACAGCTCAAATAATATAAACATATATATAGTATACCTCAAGTAATAGCTAACATGTTTCAATAATAATGGTAATCACTCAAAACACATTTAATAAGCCGGACTGCTAATCCCGATTTGTTAGTCACGAGTAGTACAGTAAATAGTTAGCTATCATGAATGGTTCATAACATTTTCGTATTCTTAAAATAACATGTAAGGTTTAATATTTTCCAAAAGGTAGACTCCTTTTACCACAAAAACATCAATGCGTTTAATTTTGTCTTTAATTTCTCTTACTCTCACTATCAGGCACTCTTAATATGTATTTCTATATGTATTTATTTAGTTGTGCCTTTTTCGGGTAAATCGCGTGCCCGCTGCCGACTTTCGATTTCAAATAACATACTATATATGTATATATACTCGTACTCGTAAATATGTACGTTTGCTTTCTATTTCTATTTTTCCCGCACGTCATCCACAGGGTCAACAGCCGCAGTCGGAGGACGAGAACACGCCTCAGAAACGAGTCGACAAAATATTTGATCAAATGGATAAAAATCATGATGGCAAATTAACATTAGAAGAATTTCGTGAGGGTAGTAAAGCTGATCCACGTATAGTTCAGGCGTTAAGTTTAGGTGGTGGTTAAACGAAAAGCAAAGCAAAGCAAACCAAACCAAACAAAAAACAACAACAAAAACAAAAACCAAAAGCTAATATTAAAAGTATGTGCAAGAATAACAAGAAAGGAAAAGAAAAGAACAAAGCAAAACAAAACAAAACAGCCTGTGCTATAACCAAGCGTTTAGCATAAAAAACACAAGCAAGCAATTATAACTTTAAATGAGATAATACAGCAACATTAGCGACAGCTACTACAACAACACAGCACTCTGCTGGCGACGACAACAACAACAATAAAACAATTAGCAATACTAGCATCAACAATGACAGCAGCAACAACAAAGAGTCGATGCTTGCTGCTGGTTCGTTACTTCTTTTATTCAACCTGCACTCATGAAATAAGTGGAAAATTTTGTAACTAAAACTCTTTAGAAATCCTTAAAGCAATCAGAAGCCTTCTTGCTTGATTTTTCGAAAATTGATATTGCCATAATGTTTGTTTCATATACTTATATTTCTTATTTTCAAATTTTCCCTTTAACTCGATGCCAGGTCGCGTCAATGAAAACCAAAAGGAAAAAAATCGATTAACGTTAAAAATGATAATAAATTTTTTATATATACAGTACGAAACCAAGAAGAGAATTAAATTTTTTTAAGACGAATAATTAATAATATACATATACTGATTTGAAATAAAAGTATATGCATATGAATATGCGTATATGCATAAACATATACTATATACTATATATATATATGCCTAAATATAGACCTTTACAGTGGCATAGTCAGCGCAGAAGCCGAAAAGTTCATAGTAATTAAATAAAACGTAATATAAATTTAAACGTAAATCAATTTTGAGCATACACCAATTATTAATAAACAAGCAAAAGCAGAAGCAAAAGAAACAAAAAACAAAAGCAGAAACAAAAACAACAACAAAATTTAAGGTAACATAAAGTACGAGTAAATGCAAAACGAACAAAATATTTGCATATGTATTTAAATTTGTAATATTAAATGCATAATTAATAATGAACGTGCATTCAAATTAAAATTTAACGAACGAAGCCTTCGATATTTATAAAAAAAATTAAATCATCAAAGCAAAACCAAAAATCAAGTCAAATGTACACGCAAGCTAACAAATTATTGATATACAAATTACATACATGTGTACATAATACATACACGCATACATGCTCGTACATACATACATGCGTTCATACATAGTACAGGCGATGTGCAGTGCATGAGTGTGTATGTGTATCTGCCTGTGCATGTGCGTGTGTGTGTAGCGACACGTAAGTCAACAAACCAGTAGACCTACAGGATAGCCGCTGGAGGGCGAGAGCGGAATGAGCAGAGCAAATAAAAAGTGTTGCATACACACAGGCGCGCCACTTATGTAGTATGGGTTTTTGAAAAGTTTTTTGTCTATGCACATACTTACATATGTACATACCGTTGTGTGTTTGAATATTTTGTTCATGAATGCAAACAATTGACAATAGCGATTGCCAACTTATTAATAATTAAACAGCTTAACAGCAACTGCAACAGCAACAACAACACATACAAACACAATAACACAACTGCTTTTGCCTGCGTATCATTTTAGCTGTTTCGTACAATATTTCTTCCTTCTTTCCTTCTCTGCATTACTCAATTAACTAACTTAATTGGCTTTAATAGCTAATTGTTTAAATATAGTACTAAAACTTACTTTGCCTTGCTATGATATGCCACACAACAACAGTATCAGTATCAGCAACAACAACAACAACAACATCAACAAAACACCATACAAATATCAGAAACGAAAGAAAACAAGTCAGGGTTGAATTTGTTCTGTTGTCCACGTTTAGTTTTGTGTGCGTGTGTACTTAATAAATATGTATCTGTATTTACAACATCTACTTACTACAAATACCACCTTCAACAGCCATTTAGCATATACGTCTACAATTAAAATAATAATAACAATTAATAACAATATGAACAGCAGCAGCCGAAATAAGTGCTCTCATAAATATAATATATACAAGTATAATTGAATGACAGTCAGCAAAAAATATAAAATTGCAACAGAAATACAAAATCAGCGAACAAACAAAAAAAAAGAAAAGAAAGAAAGATGATATAAGAACAACCTAACGAACAAGAAAGAAAAATAGAAAGCGAAAAAATCCATCATACGATTTAATTTCTATTCTATATGCGGTTCAGCTTTATTATTGCATTAATTTAAACTGTTTTTTATTATATATATATACATATGTGTGTGTATATATGTATATATATACATATACCTACTTACATATACTTTTAAATTTCACTTTCTTATGATATTACAGAAGGCATTCAAATCATGCATACAACTTTTATATACATACATACATACTTGCCTCTCTAAATATATATTTATATGAATATATATTTATAGTGAAATATACATGCTTAGATACTTAATACTTACTAATATGCCTAAAAAACCTTATAAAATACATACCTAAGGTTCAACTACATAGATACGCACACTCGCCAAGAAACAGAAAACGAAAACGAAAACAAAATTATATACATAAATATATATATATAAAAAGCATATACTATATATTCATATATAAATAGAAAACTTGAACTTGACATGGGTTTACATTCACATTATTTTGGCTCTCTAGGTTTTTCCATATATACTATATATATTTATATTTTTTGTTGTCATACATTTGCCCATGCTTTGATTTGCTAACAATTCGTCTACTTTGAAGTGGCCTTAAATGAACAGAAAAACAGAAACAGCAACAACAACAACAACATCAACTGAAACAAGAATAAAAAACCAACAACAAATTTTGCCAAGCTCGTTTCAATTTTTTTGCGCACCAGCCTCTTGGCCGCACAAAAATCACTTGATGTGCTTAAATATGAAATACAGTTGTATGTAATATCCATACATATGCATATAATTATATTATTTCCTACGACAACACTTTTCGTTATCGCTCATTAACTTATTGATTTCCCTAGCGTAACTGTATTTGCATTTTATATACATACATACATATACTATATTTAACAAATGTACTATGCCTCTCTACATGCAATACAATGAGAATTTTGTTAAGCTAGCACGCAAAATTATTACCATTTCTTATGCGCCTACACTCAAAAAAGTAAGAAATCAAATCAAATCAAAATGGCATATAAACTTATATACCTATACCTTATATACTTAAACAAAGGATAATATTTATAAGCACAACAATATATGAATAAAACAAACAATACAAACGCTTCAAAAACCTCACTGAAATTCTTCGAAAAAGTTAGAAATTTATATGAAAATAAAAGTAAAACTACCACAAAACACACAAAACATACACATACACATACACACACACACACACACTCACAAACTAAAGCATATAATAAAACAGAAGAGAGAAAACTTAATCAATAATTAAATAATTCAAAGTGATATAGCTGACAAAACAAATGTGTCTGTAGATTAGTAGTTAAAAATATAAAAAATAATTAATTAAAACAAAAAAAAAAGGAAATAAATAAAAATATGAGCAACAAATTTATGAAAGCGATTGAGTAAATTTTCACTTTTTTTTAGAAACCGAAAGTAAAATTGTTAGAGCGTATAACGAATATACCAGATGTAAATAACACTAAGGAATCACAGCATACACAGACACACCAACACACCACACACACACACACAGCATTGCGACTCAGAATTCCAAAATTAAGTATTTTGTGAACACCAAACATGACAGGTCTTAATACGTTTTCAAATCGAATCAATGCCCGTGTACATACACATATACAAACGTTTTTAAGTATATGTAGTATACGCATGCAGGAATACACACACTCAAACACACATACACCCTCACACACATTAGCAAACAGCAAAAAGTCAATTGTAATGAGAGGAAATATAAACGAAAACAATTCAACAACAACAACAACAGAAACGACAAATTATATATTGTACGAAATAATTATTTTCAATACGCAACTAAAGTTGCAGCCATTGGCACAACAAACACACCAAAATGATGATGTCAAGTTAAACGTTTCACAAGCAATATTTTACATACTTATATACATTTGAAAACAAAAAAATTATATATATATATATACTATATATATATATATACAAACCTAATATTAAAATTGGCAAAACTAAACCAGAGGCAAAACAAAAATAAAGCAATTACGAAATTATTGTATAATGTCTGAACAGTGCAGTGCAGAGTTTAACATTAAACTTATATATACATATATATACATATACATATATATATATATATATATTATTACGAAACACATGTATATATATATATATACATATACATATATATATGTATGTATATATATGTATATGTATATATATATATATATATATATATATATATATATATATATATATATATATATATATATATATATATATATATATATATTATTACGAAACACAACAAAAAAGAAATTGAAACAGAAACCAATACAAGTCACAAGAGAATAACAAAATGGAGAAAAATAAAAAATAAAAGAAGAAAAAACAACAATTTTTTTTAGTGATATTCTTTAGCAAACTAAAATCTGTTTTCTTTGCTAAAAGAAAGGGAAATGGAAATGGAGAACGACATAAAAACAACAACAAACAACATTTTTCATTTTTTCATATTTTTTTTTTTATAAATCTTTACTGTTAATATTACTACGATGATGAGTATAAGTATAATTATATAATTATGTATTTAAAACCAAGCAAACAAACAAAAATTCTTTTACCATATTTTTTGTAGTAATGAAAAGAAAAAGTGGAAAAATTTATCTTGTTACTGTCAGAAATATTACTTAATTCAAATAAAAATTTCAAAGCGAAGCGCAAATGTGTGTTTTTTACTGTGAGAAAAAATGTTTCTAGCAAGATCGGGTAAGTATTATAGTTATGTTGCTTTTATGGGATTGCACTTATCTTACGGAAGTATTCGAATTTGTGAACATCTTAAGAACTTAACGGCAGCTTGTATTGTAGGTATAAAATACAAATTAGTTGGCAACCAATAATTTAAAATGCAAAATAATGGATTATATGGAGTTGGTACAGAACGCAGAACAGATGCATATTTTTTTTCTAAATACTTGTCTTTTGTCAAACCGCAAAATATTTGTTAATAATGCTAAGTTTTCCGTAGCTATAGGCTATTTTTATTTGTGGATCGTGTTACATAGTCCTTGCACAAGATTCTAGGAAACTTATTTTTATTAGCCATGTCCTCAGTTACAACGATCGCTAACAACCGACCGCCCATGTAAAAAGGCAAAACCGCGCCGCAGTTTTAAGAAGAGGCCTACAAGCTGTTAATTCATTTTTGAGCAAATTATTTTTACCAAACGCCTTCAACATTTAGTTTTTATACCCTGTACTCAAAGGGTAGTTTTGTGCGGGTGTATGTAACACACAGAAGGATGCGTGGCACTGTGTGTGTCTCCACTTATGTACATATTTATGCATTGAATATTTTCATTTAATGTAATTTATTTATTTATTTAATTAAACTTTGTTTTAAATTAATTTTAAAAGTATTTTTGTAATTTTCTGTTTCATCTTGCA